ATGAAGAGATGATGCTGACGAATGAATTCAATAAATTATTTGGAAAAATAAAGGAGACTTTAGAAAATTAAAATTTTAGAAAAACGCAAAAATAGTAAAAAAAAAGAGGACACATTTTGGAATAAAAAAATAAAATACATTCAAAGACCAGCAACTCTGTGTAGATTTGTATTTTTACAGAAATTAATTTTTCAGAAAAAAAATTCGGAAAAGAAAATATAAATTTAAATAGACTTTTATTTTAAGGAAGATACGGAAAAGCAAAGAAAATACAATTGAATAGGTTTTCCGGAAAATAATAATTTTGTTTCCGGAAAATACAAAATATTCCGGAAAATATACAAAAGAATGTTTTGCCCAGTCAAGGGAGGGGGGAATGAATATTGTTTAAATTAAAATTTCTTTAAAAATTTAAAGTATTCCCTCATTAAAAAAAAGTTTTGTGAAAATAAAGAAAAATGGACTAGAATAATTTAATTGTGTTGAAAATTGAAAAATGAAAAAAAATTTTTTGAAGAGGATAAAAGTGCTTTAAAGGAAATGAAGTATTTAAAATGGACAGAAATTATTAATTTAATTTTTAAATAGTTTTTAAATTTAAAAAAAAATAAAATTAAAAATTAAAAAAAAAATTTTTATAAAAAAATATGAAAAATTAAAATTTCAAAAATAAAAAAATTTAGATAATGTTAATATAAAAAATAATTTATTTTCAAAAAAATATAATTTATTTAAAATTAATTTTTAATTAATAATAATTTAAAAAATTAATTTTAAATTAAAAATTCAAAACACCTACCGTCCTCATATTCGCTGTATGCCTAAACAACTGTAGCAAAGCCGTGTTGTTTGCTGTTTGGTCTTTATTGTTGTTGTTAAGCAGTTTTAATAATTAATTTCAAACTGCTTTTGTGCAGTTTGAAAAGCAGAAAAGAATAAAAAAATAATTAAGGGATTAATATTTCTTTATATTAATCTGTAAAAAAAGAATTTATTTTAATGGTACAAAAGTATGATTAGCTAAATCAGAATTATTAAAGAGTAATATAAAATCAGAATTAATTTTAAAACAAAATCAGAATTAACATTAATAATCAGAATTAAAAATCAGAACAAAGCTAAAATAAAATTAGAATTTTTAAATTTAAAATCTGGGTAAATTATTTTCATAAAAATCCGGAAAGAATCAGAATTATATTTCAATAATTAAAAATCAGAATATCTAATGATTATAATTCTGATAGGCAAATAAAACACAACAGAAAATTAAAATTATTAGCAGAATATTAATAACTTTAAATTAGCAATAAAAATAAAAAATTAATTAGAAATAAATACACTTATTGTCCCTTAGGAAATTAAGGATTAAAGTTTATATTTATTTTTATAAAGGAAGGCAAATAAAAAATTCCCCAAAATATTTGTATTTAATTAATTATCTCGTTAACCAATTAATTTTCTAAAAATAAAATAAAATTAATTATTCAACTATTTTTAAAAAAATATGTAAAAGTTGTTAGTTAGTTAGTTAAATATCTGCTAATAAACAATAGAAAAAAATTCCTCTTTATTTTTCCCCAACTTTTTTTTCAATTGTCAATCAAAAATAATGAGAGATTTTCACATTTGGCCTTAAAACTTTGGTTAAATAACTTTAAAATAATCGATGCCTGATGGACAAAAAAACAGATTTTTTATGTCTCTCTCTGGATCGCCATAAGGGAAAATTGAAAAAGTAAAGCAAAAGTGTAAGTGGAAATAAAAAAGAAAGAGGAAAAGACAATAACTAAAACGGCCTGGGCGGGAGGATAAGGATATTATGGCGTGGTAAGAGGGTTGGACGTTAATTTATGAAACGGATAAGAATAAGGCTAGAAGGCTCAAATTTTTCATGGAGTTTTTTGGTAGAGTCTTCTAAATTCTCTAGAAATTTCAGAATTTTTGGTAAGGTATTTAGTGAAATCATAAGCGAAAATGTATGAACAATGTTGGTTTTTCTGATTATTTTGACCAGAACTCTGGCAATACAAAACCTAAATTTATGAAATTTTTAGAGAATATAGGAAATACTATCTAAGATAAATCCGCAAAATTTCACGCTTCCAAGTACTTTTCTCCCAGAGTTATGCAAGAACGCGCCCAAATATTCCCTGCGCCTAAACGTCAATTGCCCCCTCAGGCACCGGCAAGCCGCAACAACAATTACCTCTATCTCTTTTTTTCGTTTATACTTTTTTTATTCCGCTTATTCACACGCTATTCACAAACATAAAAAGGCTGACAAACAATAGAAAATATTATATTATGCCACTTGTAAGGATATATATTTATTTATTGATATATTGATTGTATTAAAAACCACAAAAAATTGGCAATTTTTAAGGGGGAAAAATGACGATTTTTATAGATATTCTGATAGTAAAATCAGAATACTTAATGAAAAGTTTTTTTATTTTCTGGTAGAAAAATTGTAGAAAATAATGTTAAAAAGAAACGTGGTTGGCTTGAAAGAGAGAGATAAATTTAGAGATTAATTGTATAATTAAACCTGGTTGTTAAATGGACATGAAAATCTGTGATGGGCGGTACTACAATTGCGGGTCTAATAATTACGGATATAAGACTTTTTAAAAAAATTTTAAAAAGCATTTAAGTAATAAAAAAGTGGCAGTTTCATCTTTTTCCTGTTGATTTCGCCGATTTCGGTTACCCGTTGTTTTATAAATCCGTTTTGTTTTAACTGAGATTTTCTTAGTTGAGAATTTGAATGGACATGTGTATATTAGGATCACGGTATTTTTAACTAACTGTATTATACGGAAATATCGATACTGAATATTATGTAATTTTAAAAATTTTTATTTTTTTGTTAAAATTATTTTTATTTTTGCAAGTCTGAAAATGCACTCAAAGGAATGAAAATAAGAAAAAAATAAAAGGAAAAAATACGAGAAAAAAATTCGATGTGTTCCTTTACTTAACAAATTTAATTTTAACAGGGACACCGAAGAATGGCATTAAATAAATATTGGTATAGCAAAAATCTAATTTTTTTAACCGATTTAATTTAAGCTGAGATTTTTCATAAAAATATTGATTTTTTAATAAAAATATTTTTTGAAGAAAATAAAATATTTTAAAATTATTTTTTAAACAAGCTTTTCTATTGGATGTCGTACCAAAATTCATGTTCGTCCCCCATACTCGTATCTGATACGAAGTAGGAGTACGAGGTTAAAAATAGATGTGATATTAGGTACAATAAAATTGGCCCGTATCTTTTCGAAATTGGTATTAAATAGAAAATTGAAAGAAATATTGAAGAAATGATTCTTTTTAGAATAAAATTTACAAGAAAAAACAAAGGGCTCTATCTTAGGACATGCGTCCCATGAACATTTATGCGTCCCATGAACTTTTATGCGTCCCATGAAGGTTTATGCGTCCCAAAAATAGTATATGCGTCCCATGAAAGTATATACGTCCCAAAAATTGTATATGCGTCCCAAAATAAGATAAGCGCAAAACAACATCTTTTAAATGCATTAATGAAAATTAAATAATTATTATATGTTTGCTTTCTCAAGGGACAACGAGTTTTTGAAGCGGGTGGAATATTGAAACATACGGATTTGTGAAACAGGCGGAATAGTGAAACAGGTGGAATTGTGTTGTGAATTTGGGGTTAGCGAGGTGGTCGGCCGAAGGCTATCAGTTATTCTTTTGATAATGCTTTGTTAAATGTTTTGGTAATCTGGTATGCTGGTCAATGGTTAATAATCGGTTTGTTGTGTTTAAGCGTCTTGAATTAGAGTCAACTTTTGAGGTTGTCATAAGTTGATTTGGATTCAGGTTTTTTTGATTTGTTTTGAATTTGCTAGCGGGGTGGGGCGGCCATAGGCCGACCGACTCTCCACTTGTATAATAAAATATTTAATTGTCATTAATAAAATAAAAAAATGTTTTTACAATTGTTTTACGCTTATATTAATTTTGGGACGCATATACTTTGAAGGGACGCTAATACTATTTTTGGGACGCATATACTTTCATGGGACGCATAAAAGTTCATGGGACGCATAAAAGTTCATGGGACGCATAAATGTTCATGGGACGCATGTCCTAAGAAAGAGCCAAACAAAGTAGTAAACTCAATATCAGAGTCACATAGATCTTTAGTGGATATGATTGTGTACATATTTCAAGCGGGTTGGGGTCATAAGGGCGCGGGGCCATTAGGGCGCCAGCACTAGAAACTGACACTTAGGCGAAACCGAAATTTATGAAAATTTTCTCAAATTTCTTTAACATTATTGACTACCTCCTCCAGAAATTTCAGAATTTTTCATCGAATATTTCTGAAGTTATAGTCGATAAACCGCGAAAAATTAGGGTTTTTTCGGAAAATCAACATTTATGGCCACAATTTTCGAAATTCTTGATCAAAAATTCTGAAATTTTTGGAGAACGTAGATAAAGGCATGAGAGTTATTATTGCAAAATTTTATCTTTTTTGATAAGCAACTCACTGTTTTATAAGCTCGCGCCCTAATGGCCCCGCGCCCTAATGGCCCAGTCCCATTTCAAGCTGGATTTCCATATTATTGTTGAATATGAAAAATTAAAATCTTACACAATCCTATACATTCTTAATTGTAAGAATTAAAGTAAGAAAATGCAATTAAGTACTATATATTGCCTGAAAATGACTAGAAGGAATGGGGCATGACAAAAGTCAAGATCAGAATATTAGTATCTCAACAATGTGTTGGAGAGAGATTGGCATAATGTCTAAATTTTTCCCTTCTTATTTTTGACTAGTTGGTTTACTATAAAAGCACTCCTTTGATAAAGGTCTAAAACTCCTCGTATTTCTAAAACAAATTCAAAAACCTACATAATTCTCTACATTATTTCCTCGGCGCTTTTTGGTGTGGGCTGCTTGTTTATAAGGGTAATAATAATAAATTTTTTTAAAAAGTTTATTAAAATTTTTTTAGATGAACACAATTGTTTGCAGAGTTAAATGGCCAGTCACCAATTTGATAAGGATTTGGTCAGAGTTGGATAAATATTATGCTGAAAGTCCTCCAGTATTAGTTTCAAGTAAATCTTTCTTTTCAACAAAAATCAAAAAATCATTTAAGGTAAACGTTTTGGCAATCCAAATTTTACCAAAGTGGAATGGGAGTTATGTGTTGAGATGAAACCTTATACCTCTACTTTTGCTATTTATCTTCGCCAATTAGGGCCAAATAGTATCAATGGTCTTGTGAATACGCAATATGAAATTTTTGTGGTCGAAGACAATATCAAACGTGTGCTTTCCAGGTGTTTTATTTTTATGGTGAATGAGGGTTAAGGAAAAGTTCGGGTAGGAATTGACCTTTGATCTCCCTGTCAGTTATATTCGGAGCTCACTCACAGTATTGTTCCTACTATGGGTATTGCTGTCACGATTCTCGAGAATCTTTAGGCCGCCAAAAACGGCCTAAAGATGGGGCTTTAAGATTTGTAAGCGAAAAGTCTCGGTAGTTTTAAATCTCCGAAATCGGAAATATTACTCATCCAAAAGTAGAAGTTTCATTTTCCACAAAATTCTAAATGAGGATTTTTAATCCTCAGAGCAGATTTAAATTTATTTACTTTCCAGATCTACAAACAAATTTGAAAATCAAGAAAAATTGGGATATGCTAATGTTTATAAGATTCGAGGCAAAATACTTAGACATGGTAAAATAATTTTAAAACTTGCCAAATAATGTCTTTTTCAGATTTAAGCATTCAATGTAAAGTTTCAGTAGATTGGTACGATGCAATTGATAATTTAAAATTTACATATCGTAATATGTTGGAAGAAGAATTATTTTCGGATTGCGTGATTAAGGTACTTGAAATTTAAAAATAGTCAGACCTCGGTGTAATATTCCCGTTTTCCCAGATATATCCGTAAAATGACCCTTGGAGTTGAAAAAATTGTAACGTATAATGAGGCAAGGGTATTGCCTCCAAGGCAGCGGCCAACAAAATTTAAAAAATAAAGTCCTATCTAGTAATGGGGTTGGTTATCTTATGGGGGGTTATATTAGCTGAAACAATCTAAAAATACAAATTTTTATTTTTCCAGGTTTCGGATATGGCTATAAAAACACACCGCTGCATTTTAGCAAAGAATAGCAAAGTATTCCGCAAAATGTTTGAGCATACGGAAATGATTGAGGGAGTGACTGTGTGTTTTATTTAAAAATTAAAGGGGAAAGATTGTTAATTTTCGGGATTTAGGGATTTTAAAAAATTTAAAAAAATTCAAAAAAATATTTTTTTAATTTTAGAGAGAAGTCACAATTCCGGATTTCAAACCAGAATCTGTTCAGGCAATGCTAGAATTTTTCTATACTGGCGAAATAAACAAAAATTTGATGGAGAAGCATGTTGAGGACATTTTTGCTATTGCTCACAAATATCAAGTTTTGCCGTTAAAATATGAATGTGAGGTGTTTATGACTAACTTGATTGGTAAGGAATAGAATTTTATAGAAAGAGTTAAGCTTTAAAAATAAACTTGATTGTAAACTTTAATATAAGAGATTGCAAAACCCCAAATTACAAAACTACCGTATAACCTGTATTAACTGCCCTCCCTCGAATAATTACCCCACTTCCATTAATTACCCCATCCAGTGATAGATTGAGACAATAATTACCCCCCCCCTCCCTCAACAAATGCTCTAAAACACTTTAAAATTTTAAACCTCGTATAATTACCCTCCCTCGGTTAATTACTTCCTCCAGCGGAAGGCCGAAACAATAATTACCCAGGGTAGTTATTAAAGGATATACGGTAAGCTTAGAATAAATGAGGATTGTAAAAATAAACTTGGAATAGGTTTGAAATACAAAAGAGTAAAACTTGGAATAATAAAATAATTTTTCAGATGATGAAAAGATTCTGAAATATTGTGATATGATTAGTTTATATGATGCGCCTACACTCGAGAAGGTAGATTTTTCAGATTTTGTATTTTTATTTAATATTTTAAATTTAAAGGGATGTAAAATATATATTCAAATTAATAAAGAAAATTTTTTGAAAAGCAAAGGATGGGAAGAAGTTGAAAAAACGTTTCCAAATTTGGCCTATAGAATTTTGAAGTCTGTCCTTTGTGATGATATTTGTTTTTGATATTGATATATATTGTATATTGTTGTATTTATGTATGTAAATAGAAAATAATTGTAATAAATTTGATAGAACGAAATTCGAAAAAAATTTCCAAGGGGAATAAGAGTAGTAGAATAGGAGTAAATTTGGGCGCGATGAGAATTGGGCGTTAGCGCTTATAAAATGGAAAGATAAAAACATAACGCCGTAAAATTTTATAAAAATATCCTCGAGAGTGATAACTAGCTCTCCTAAAAATGCCAGAATTTATTATCTCGAAAAATGTGGGTAAAAATGCCCCAAAAATAGAAAAAATGCCCATTTTTTGTAGTTATCGACCATAACCTTTTTTAATATTGCACCTAAAATTTTGAAATTTTTAGAGAGGTTGGATACAGACGTGGGCGAAACGTTTCGTTTCGTTTCGTTGTTTCGTATGTTTCGTATGATTTTTACTGTTTCGTCTCGTTTCGTTACGAAACACTTTTAAATTTGTTTCGTTTCGTTTCGTTACGAAACACCTGTGATTTTTCAACGAAACGAAACAATTTTTTAAGCCTAAACTAAGGCCAAAATCTATAAAATTTACCATCTTTTATTGAAAATTTAAAAAATTTTCGCCTGCGGCGCTGAAAAAAAAAGAATTTCGGCTTCTTGGCTTTCCCAAATTGTCAAAATTTTCGCCTGCGGCGCTGAAAAAGGAAGATAGCAATTACTTATATACTACAAATCCGTTTATACTCCACTCCCTAATCCACATATACATATTACTTAATCGACGACAAATTCTATTACCGGACTCGCATCATAATTTAAAAATTGCGGATTGCGAGTTGCGGAAATACTGGAACCGGAACTTCCGGCGAAGCACTAGCTTATATCGCCTTCCTCTCGAAATGGAGATATGGAGACAATTTGGGTAGGCAATGGAGCAAGATGGTGAATTTTTTGGCCTACGGCCTTTCAAAATTTTAAAATTTTTCGTCTGCGGCGCTTAAAATAAAATTTTACTTGAAAAATATTCAATTTTATTTAAAAAAAAGCGTCGCCAAAAATTTGGCTTCGAAAATGATTGACCCCCCCCCCTTCCCCGAAAATTTTCCTTGCTACGGGCCTGGCTTATGGGACACAATTGTTGTAAATAAACCAATAACTAAATCATTTATAAGTCATAGTCGACTAATAACGTATTTGAGGTCGAATAATTTCGAAATAAATGCAGTTTTGAAAATTTTTTGAATATTAAAATGTTTCGTTTTGTTTCGTTTCGTTTCGTAAGATTTTGGTTGTTTCGTTTCGTTTCGTTAACGAAACGATTTTTAAAAAATTTTGTTTCGTTTCGTTTCGTCAGAAAAAAATTTTGAGTTTCGCCCAGGTCTGGTTGGATAACACTAAGAGAGATATTATCATTGGAAAAGTGGACGAAAATAGATGCTTATTTGAATATTTTGAATATTTAATCAACGAGCGTCCAAGCGTTGCTAACACTTAAAAAGTCACTTAATTGGAAAAAATTAATTGCTTTATTAATTAATTGATTAATTTAATAAAGAAAATCTAAAGAGATTTGCATTTCTAATCAATAAAAAATCAAAAAAAAATTTTTAACAATTTTTTTAAATTCAATTATTTGTAAAAGCAAATTATCGCTTTATTCATCATTTTTCATTAATATAAAAGAAAAAGGAAGGGAAAAGTATTTTTGTGTGTAAAATATTATGTGAAAAATGTTGAAAGAAGAAAAAAAAGTTTTTTTGGAGTGGGTAAGGAAGGTTTTGAAAATTAAATTAAAATAAAAAAAAAGAGAAGCTTAGCCTTTGCTGTTGTTGTTTGGCTTGAACTAATGATGTTATTTTATACTAGAAAAAAAAATAAGAGAAAAGAAAAGGGGAAAAAATTTTTTTTGAGAAAAAAATTTAATTTGCATAAAGAAAGTTTCTTTTGTTTTTTAATTTTTATTAAAATAAAAAAATAATTTTTGAAAAATTAATTGTTTCTCATAAAGAAAAGTTAATTTTTAAGGCTTTACAAGTTTTCCGGAAAAGGGGGATTTTTAATAATTTATTGGAAGGCTTATTATTTTTCTCTGCTTAATTAATGATTGTTTCCGGAATATTTTTGTATTTCCGGAAAATATAAAATTATATTTGTGTTCTTTCAGAAAAAGACTTGTTATATATCTTTTGTTGGCAGATGATTATTTTGTATTTTTTTCTGGAAGGTTTTACAATTTCAAACTAAGAATAATGGGGAAGTTGTTCTTTTTTAAATCTTTTAAATTTCCGATTTAACAGAAAAATTTTAATCAATCAGAACTTAATCTACACCCAAACGATTTTTCTGTAACTAACATTCTTGTGTATAATTTTTTGAAATTTTTTTGTACGCATAAGCGAAATCTAATTATACAATGAAAATTTAAAAGTTTAAAATTAATAAGGAAAAATTTTTTTTTTAAATATGTAGTAATAGTAAATAAATATTTGCTAAAAATGCCACTAAAGCAAACAAAAGGAAATGTGAGAAAAACACATCATAGGCAAATGTGAACATCATAAGAAAATTTGTAATAAAAAAGGGGAACCTAATATATATTTTTGGGAAGCAGGCAAAACGTAATGGGATGGATATACAAATAACCTTTTTACCGATAAATATTTTTTGTTTGTGTGTCTAGAAAAGTGTTAAAAAAGTACAATTTTTTTGGAAAATAATATTTACTGCTCACATTTTTTAAATTAAAAAAATATGGAAATAATTTTAACAAATTTTTAATTAAGCTAGTAGGGTTATTGTAATTTTAAATGCTGTCGAGTTTCTCTCACAACTAACAGAGACAACAAAAAGGAAAAAAGTCAGTTATTGTGGTTGAACAGTTAAAATTATGGTTGACAAGTTAATGGTTAAAATGTTCGAAAAAAACACTAAATCAAGTTGATAATTGAATTTTTAAAGTCAATCTAGGGATCATTTCCGATTTAAAAGAAGAACTTCAATCAATCAGAACTTAATCCACACCCATTCGATTTTTCTGTAACAAAAATTATTCAACCTAGCTCGACGAGGATGCGTCTAGTGATAAGGTTGGCGGAGTTGGATATCTGGAAATTTTCGGTTTGGATATCGGATCCGGGTCCGGATATCCGAAGATTTCCAACTATCCGCCAACCTTACTAGTGAGTTATCGTTTGTATTTTGCTCAACATAAACTTCAATAAATAAGAATTGGGACGAATTGGGTGAAATGAATTGTATGTTCTTGTTCAGGGGCGAATTGTGATCTGCCGAAAATAATTTACCCTAATTTCTTCTTTTGCATTACTCTTACTCCCAAAAAAGACAACCGGAAATATTTGCAGCTCTTCTTTCACGTACTCTTCTTCTGGTAGTTTGATTTTTGTTCCTGAAAAAAAGATGTGTCAGATTAGCACGCACACAAGTCTCCTTCCATTGTCTTTCTACTCTGTTCCGGAAAATGACTGTCAATTCAAGTAAAACAATTTGCCAATTGACATTTTGTCACTAGAATAGAAATTTTTGCAATTGTAGACAAAATGTCCAATTTTGCCCTCCTTGGCATTTTGTCCCCTTGGCCATTTCTTTTCAACTGTCTTTTGCGTGCGTTTTTCTTTCTATTGTCTTTATTCTCTCTCTTTTGTGTCTAACATTTCTCTTTCTATATTTTACTTTAATTTGTTGGATTTTAAACGTTTTTGACTTTTTTTTGGATTTTATTGGAAAAACATGTCATTCTTTTTATTTTCTTTAAAATTATTTTTTAATTTTTTTAGAAAAAAAATAAATTCTGTTGATGCAGTTAAAGCCTTTAGAATTTTCTGAATGCCTGACGGATTCTCCCTTTTTCCGCCAAAATTTGCATAAACACGAAATTGGTTT